AATGTGTAGGACGTCCCGCAGTTTTTGTATGTCTGGTGAGTACAGCATGACAATGTGTAGGACGTCCCACAGTTTTTGTATGTCTGGTGAGTACAGCATGACAATGTGTAGGACGTCCCGCAGTTTTTGTATGTCTGGTGCTTCTTCACAGAGCTTCAAGTTTTGCGCTCCAGCAGGTTTCAGAAGCGCTTTGATATTGACATGCTAAGGTCACATCTGCCAGACATGGTGTAGTTCTCTCTGTTTGTGTGTGTCTCTCTGTGTCTCTGTCTCTGTCTCTCTCTGGGTGTTTTGCTTGCCTGTTTGTACCGCATGTGTGCAGTGCCCAGGGAGGCCAGAAGGGGGTGTTCTCTTGGGACTAGAGTTACAGATGGCTGGGAGCCACTGTATGGGAGCTGAGAATCGAACCTGAGTCCTCTGGAAGAGCAGCCAGTGCTCTTTACCACTGGGCCCCCTCTCCAGCCCTGCTTTTGCTTTGGTAGTTTCTGTTGCACATCTGTGTGGATGTGCCTCTGTGGTCATTCATTTCCAGTGCCCGCCAGGGCTAGAATTGCCTGAATGGGTCATTTCCCATCCTTCCTTTATGGCAACTAAGATAACCCTGTCTCCACCCTCCCCTTGGGCAAGGGCTCCAGAGTCAGCAGGGGCCAACTAGCACCTCTACCCCCTGTTCTGCCTGATCAGTTCTAGAGCCCTGTGAACAGGGGTGGGATGTGGGATGTCTCTAGGGGTCAGAGGCAAGGTCCTGACTGAGCTGGCCTCCAGCAGTCTGGACTTCTGGCTCTATTTCTGAGTGAGAGTGAATGCAACAGCTGTAGTGCTCTCTCTCTCTCTCTCTCTCTCTCTCTCTCTCTCTCTCTCTCTCTCTCTCCCCCCCCCCTCCCACCTCTGAGGCTCCCTCCGGTTTGTGGAGGAAGTCTGACATCCCAGCTGACCATAGAGTCTGCTGTGGGGAGTGGGAAGTCCCACCATAGTGAAAGGGGGAACAAGGGAGGGTCTAGCCATGCATAGTAGTGTGTGACTGAGATCCCAGCACTTGGAGGCTGAAGCAGGGGGC